GTCATGACTGAAGTCGAGCGACTGCGATAAAACCGTCTGCTTGTTTTTCTCTTTGATGCTGGAAAGAAGTGCTGTCACTATGACATCATAGCTGGCTAAGCCAATAGGATTAATTCTTCGTATAAAGATTGCAACAGGTTTGTTTGTCAGTCCAGGAGCTGACTCGGAGTCAGCAGGAATGTTGGCCGGATGTCCGACTGTGGCTGGGATGCAGAGGGTCTTGTGAGAGCGCCGACCCATCACGAGCCGCCACAGACCGCAGACTCGTCCTCGTTCTGTGATGTATTATTTGTGCTCGCTCCGTCCTTCATCGCTAACGTTTTGCAGATAAACGGTGACGTTAATGTGTGCAGCACTCGTGTTTCTCTGCAAACCTGAAGCCTCCTGAGGTGTCTACAAACTGAAGTGAGGGTGTCGGCTGATGATGGCGCTCGGAGTCCGTTTGGTTCCGTGTCCCGCCGGCTGGAAGCGAGGGACTGTGAGGCGAGCAGCTTCAGAAGAGACAGACCTTTCTTTTCAGGTCATTCCTCTTCCAGAGGGAGAGGCGATCGAACTGCTCGATGGACATCCCGAAAACGCTGAAGAACTCCTCCTGAGAGAGGTGCCTCTGCAGGGCGAGAGACAGCCACAATCAGAGAGAGAGCGGGAACAAAGAAGACACTTTTTTCACCCTGACCGACCCCACGCTGCGTCTAAAACAACCCGACGCATTTTTCCAAGGCCGTCGAGCATCAAAGAGTTTATTAACAAAGCTGCCAAATATTAAATATGATTCCAGTGTTGTGGTCCTAAACAGCCAGCGGTCGATCATCTGAGAATATTTAAAGATAAGATAAGTCAATTTCAATAAATGTTTAATTATATAAAACAGATTTTTCTGAGATGTGACGGCCCGCCCTGGACCCTGGATGACTCTGTCCGGTCTTTAAGTGATGACGTATGAACCCCGCTTTGGTCCGAGCTACTCTGAGTTTATGAAGGCTGTTGTGTTTTTAACATGTTTTGTATCTTGTTCCATTTAATCTGAAACAGTCAGTGATCACTGTCGGCTTCTCTCGGTTTTTATTGCCGCTAATCATTTTAAAGCTCAGTGTTTAAACCCTTCCGCTGTAACTAGCAGCAGTATATTAATAACTAACCTCTTATTGTGGATGGATTATCTCAGTTGTTCTCCTGACTGAAGTTTGGTCCATTTACAGCATCCTGCCATGTGACTGTATTTGTCTCTAACCATCAGGAACCTTCACGTTAACTTTTATCGAGTGGAAAAAAGTTAGCTTGTTTATGCTAACATAGCTGTGTCGCTAGC